GAAACTAAAGTCTTAAAGAAAAAGGGAAATTTAGTCTCCATCTTTACTCCAGTGGGACACTCTTAATCCTATGAGAAACAACCTAATTTACAATTTTTATATCTTAACTGCTTGTTGAAACAATTTAACTAAAACAAGCCATATGATCCCAGAACTCAAAATCTCAGACTGAGCTTCGGCAGGGCCCACCACCTTATTAGCACTGACTTCACCCCCCACGTTCACCAAGACTTGGACACCTTGGCACAGGTACCAGTGATGTGGGATGTGGGAGACTGTGCCACGTCCTACCCTGACGGCCTCTCCTTGGGACAGAAGTGGCGGTTTGGGAGGGCTTAGTGCTAATCTGTTTGTGGAGAGAGACCAGAGGTGACACAACTCATCACAAACATGGGGAAGTTACACAAGTTACAGAAGGGCACGGTTTCTACACTGCCCTTCCCTGCAGCTCTAGGGCCTGCTGGAAGTTGTGCAAGGAGCCTGGACTGCTGCTTAGAGCCGGCTGTTTTCTCTGCTGGGCACAGCAGAGCTCAACAGATCCGCCTCCTGCCAACCCCAGCTCCTCTCTCACATGGATGTGGCCCCCAGACCTCTTTTCGGAGACTGGAGACCCCCGTTTCCAGGACACAGGGCCACTTAATGCAGAACACACACTGGCATGCACCAGTCTGAAATGCCCACTAGTCTCCAGCTGGAACCCTGTACCTCCCAGGTGGCTTGTGTGACTCCCGTCTAAGGCGCAACCACTTCCAGCCGTGCCCCCCCATTGACTAGCAACTCAGCATGTTTCCTTTCAACCAAACCATTAGCCTCATAAAACAAGAGCTGTGTTTTACTTCTGTGCCCCATGTCCAACTTAAAAAAATTTCTTGTTACTATTTACTTAGAAAAGCACTGAAAGATTCACTCCTTACTGGAAACCCCTGGGACCAAATGTGTTTCGGAATTCAGCATTTTTGGATTTCGGAAGGTGATGCACACGGCCTACCCTTAGCATCAAGCCAGGGGTCAGCCCTTAATCAGGCACCCAGAGGGCCACAAAGAAATGTCTGAATATCCACATCAAGAGGGTTAAGACTGAGAACAGCCTCCCATCAGCCAGGACGGGTCTCATTGCCAAATGGATTCTGTCGTGGACTTAACAACAAAAATAAACAAACCACTTTTGGTTTCCAGAGCGTTCTGGATCCGGGGCTGGGGGGAAGGGGATGGTGAGCCTGTGCCGGTGCATTTCTGGGAAGCAGGCATCTCAACCAGATCCATCCACAGCTGAGTTAAGGGTTAAGGGACCTTGTGGCCAGTGCTGGGCCTCCAGGTGGTATTTCTAAGCCTTCCTCTGATGGCCTGTGTGCCTCTTCCTCACACACTCCTTCGCCCGTTCCCTCCTTCCGGGCCTCCCCGCCCAGCACTTCACCCTCTGAGCTCGAAGGCTGTAGCCAGGGTCAGCAGCACCCTGCTCTTGCCATCTGTGGCTGCCCGGGCAGCTCCCTGGGAACACAGCCTCTCCCAACAGCTTTCCCATCCCTCCTTCCTCCACAGGTCCTCCCCTGATGCCAATTCAAGGATCTCTCTGTGGGCGCCCCTCTGGAAACCAATCAGGGTAAGAGACAGAAACCAGCTCCAAAGGTCTGGCCCACGCCCAAAACTTTAAGTGAGGTCACGGAAGCAGCACGCTGAAACAGGCATGAAAGACCACCTGACAGTCCTCAGCAAGGAAAGTGACTTCCAAGTATGCATTAGTCAGAACCTGCTTCTATACCGCTCTCACTTCCCAGTAAGCTCCCAGGGTCAGGGCGGTCTGAATCATCTTGAATTATACACAAAACAGTGGATAACTGATTCTTACTAGGTGAAGGAGTAGTTGTTTGGGGGCTCACACTTTAACCCAGAAAGGCGGGTAAAGTGGAAATCTACGGTCTCTCTCTGCAAGTACTAACTTGAAAACACGTTTCTTTTCCAAAGTGCACCCTTTCATCTTTAAGTAATCCTATTCACGGTCATCCACAAGCTGCATGAAAAACGGGGAATTACAGACCTTCCCCACGTCACGCTCAGCCCAATTTTAAGACCGAACGACCATCATATCCATGGCCCCAATACTGGGTGTTGAGTTGGAACACTGCGAGATCCCACCCATGGACGGTCCCGTCCAGACTCGGCGATTCCGGGAGCCCAGCCAAGCCGGATTTGGGGACTGGGGTCCTTGGGGAGCCGGAGAAATCGAGCTCAACCTCACTG